GGATCGAAAAATATTTCCCATTTGTTTGGGCAAACGCACACGCATATTGTACATTAAATAGGCTTTTTTGCTCTATTTTTTTTTTCTGGTTACTATCAAATAAGTAGACTCGTTCTCTCATCCCTTCGATTACGTACATTTTTTTCCTCGATCACCAATCGACATCGATTCAATTAAATCTCGAGGCTCATTCCCGCTTTGTGTTGTGATATTGACGCAGATTCCATATTCCATTGCCATAAAATTTAAATATTTTCGAAGTTTGTTTCATCGACCAAACCGAAATGCACACACACACACAAAAAAATACTTTAAATGCAAATGAGAAAGCGCACACATGCTGATGTACAGCCACACTGTGATCTCTTAATGCATCGAAAATAGTATGAATTACAATTTTGGTATACATTGCATTTGAGTACAAGTTAAACAACGTTAAATTCATTGCATGCATTTCTGATTGAATGCTGAGCAAAGCACGAGCTTCGTTCAAAAAAGCAAACATTTTCGGTAACAGCGTACGCCACCGAAAGAGAAATTTAAAGCGAAAATTGAATGAAATTGCTTGAAATTAAAATATAAAATCAGTACTTTGCACATCTTTTTCGTGCGCTGTTTTTTGAAGATTGATAGAATTTGCAAATTTCATTTTGATGCGCAACTTTAGAAGCGTTGATCTGACGAAAAAAAAACTAGTTTTGCAAAGTAACCATCTTTTTGGTAACGCTGGTAAGCCTTCAATATTTAGAATGCTTGAATCACAAAACCAACAAACTAGACGGCGGTGATAAAAGTAAGTTGCGTAACAACCTCAGCAGTCAAAAAAGATGATAAATAGTTTTGAAGAAGAAAAATTCCACGTTACCTTACACACAGAATCACTTCGAGCAAGAGATGAAAAAAGTTCCGATTTCAATTTTGAAATGCGCATAAATTAACCCTCGTCGCCGTCGTTGTCGTGACAAAGAGCTGCCTGCAATTTTGCACCCGAGGGAAAAAGGCACAAGAAAATAAAGTGTTGCTTTTTTCATGGTTGAATTAGATCAGTCTTTAAACTGTTGCCTTACTGACGTGATGAAAATGGATGCTTGAAAATGAAAACCTCATAAAATCTTTGAAACAATAAAACATTTTTTCAGATACCGTCATTTTTTATCCACGTCGGTGTAAACCGAATTCATGTGCACACAAAAATGTGAGAATGGGCGGGAGGAAAAGAACGGAAGTGTAAAAATGAAAAATTTAAATTGTATGATGCCGCATAAATAAAACATTACTCTAAAAGCATATCGGCCGATAAAATTGTAAGCTGGAGAAAAGTGAACGGCAATAAAAACAACAAAAAAACGATAATAAAATATTAAGCTTAAAATGGCAATTTCGTGAATAGAATCGAATTCATGCTCAATATTTATCCTTGTGATTGTTTGGTACAGAGAGAGCGTGAGAATAAGATGTATAGAACGAAACAACTGAAATACAACGGCGTACATAGTACAGTACGTGATTGTTGCAATGATATTCAGCATACAACCGCAATGAATCTTACCGACTTGAGCTTTAATTCTTTTGGCTCTCGTTCAGCTTCTTTGTATGCCAGTCGAACAGAAAAAAAAAAAACATGACAAGATTACAAAAGCTGACACGGGCAAATGTTAAATTTCGTTTTGAAAATTGGGCCAAGTGTTCTCGGCTCGGCAACAATTGTTTGCTCAATAACCAAATGCAAATAATTTTTTATCGTGCGCACATTTACCCAAATATTTTGTTAAATAGGTGATAAAATGCGATGAAATGGCATGGATATTTTTCGGGAAAAATTTCATAATAAACACGACAATTGTTCAATGTTCACAGACCATTTCAAGTGGATTAAATACAATAGTGAATGGTGTTGAGCCAGTTGTCGTGCATCAAGGCCGACAGAAAACAAAATAATTTTCTACTTAAGATAACAAATGTTGACAAAGATCGCGAAATGTCTGAGCTTAGTCGAATTCAATTGCTGCATAGCTTTGACTGGCGCATTTTCATTGAAGACACACACACACAGTGGAAAAAAGAAAAATGTCGTAACATGAAGCGACGGATCGTTTTGAATGCCAACGAAATGGCACTTGAACAAGAAACAGAGACAGAAAGAGACAGAGTGAAGGAGAGACATGGATCGAACGGGGTAGAGGGACGCACGATGAATGAGAAAATCCGTATTTTACATGAAAAACATGGATGGGCTTTTAAGCGAATGCGATTAAACTCTCTATTCGACTATTCCATTTGCAAAACATTCGCAATATGTTCGCATTCATTTTCATTTATATTTCTAAGCGTTCTCATTTTATATTTTCTGATCCATCCGGCTTAAATTCGGTCGACTTGATACTTTTTTTGCTGCCTTCGTTTATCGCTCTCTATCCCACTCACTCTGTACACAAGTATGTGTGTTTTTTTAATTTACTTTATTGATGTTATTTATGGTAGGTTTTTTTCGTTAGCATTAGCAATGATGCTGCCAATGGTAGTGAATTGCGTTGGGGATATATCGGCGACGTTCTCTTTTGCCAACAGCCTCTTCCGTTTGAAATCAGAACGATACACATAATTACAGTGAACGAGAGAGAAAGAGAGAGAGAGAGAGAGAGAGAGAGAGAGAGAGAGAGAGAGAGAGAGAGGAAGAAAAGAGAGCAAATTGTATTTTAAAGTGTAGTTCATATGAGAATTGAGTTTCATTCGAAATGTTGAAAGCGAATACTTTGCAAATATAATCAATGTGATCATAAAAAACATGCTTTCCGTCGTAATTTTCCTTTGCTGGCGAAAAGAGAAAAAAAAACGGAAATAAAACTTTTGATGAAAATAAAACGTAATGAATTGGTCGATGTCGAAGCGATTTCAACATCGCGACAATGGTGTAAAAGCGGCTTAATAAATAGCTGGCACTGAAAATGCTCATATGAACACACAATCACTTAAGTAAATTTCCTTTTTCACGAATAATTTATTGTTATTGTGTTGATTTGGCCAATGTTACACAATGCATGACGGTTTCCACTTCATCGACACACCTACGAATTTATTGGGTACATCCTCGAACACAAACTCTCAATCACATACATAAAGATCGTAAAAACGGTGTGGGTGCCACTTTTATTTGTTTCCATTTTCTTTTGACATTTGATTTCATTCACTTCCGTCGATTCATTCATTTGTTACCGTTTTTTTGAGTTTTGTTTGCATCGTCGCCCCTTGTGTTGAACACTATGGAATAAGTTCGGATAGGTGAAATGTGAAAATATGATTGTGTCTTGTTGATAAATGATATTTGGAATTATTATTGCTTTACTTTGGAGAATTCATCTATCAATGGGGATGAAATAATGAAGAAATGTGAATTCATAAGGTTGCTCTTTTAAATTAATTTTCCAAGACGAATCCCCCAGCGGTTAAGCAACTCAATGAACCTGTCAAGCAATCTGCAATATATGTTATGATATATCCAACTGAAACGGATAATGATCACTTCAGAAAAAGTGCAAAACTTCTATGTGATTAATATTGCAGATTGGTGCAATTCAGGGAAACTATATTGGAACGTTGAGGTAAAAGTGCAGAGTCTCGGGTGCATTCAAGAGACAGAGAGAGATAGTTGACGGCTATAGCTAAAACCAATTTGCATTGTCATCATTTGTAATCATAATATATTTAGGACAGCATAGATAAAATGGCCGGGGAAATTGAAAAATATTCTTGTCATATCATATGAGAGAGCATAACTCGAGAATATTTTCTCTTTCGGATGAATAATAACAAATTCATCGTTGTCATTCACCTAGTTTTGTTCACAAGTTTCTGCATTCAATGTGTTGTGTGGGCAATACACAATGATGTGTATAATAAAGTCTGGTAGAAGGTAAACTATGACATCATCGACCATCTCAGCACATACAATGGGACAAAATGGTGTAAGCTCTGAATGAGTAACGACAAATGGTGAATCAAATTGAGAATATTTTGTACAGAGCGTGCACGATAGTTAAAGTTATTTCATATTGCACGGTATGCATGTAAGGACAATAAGAATTGCGATGACAAATGAATTTTAGTTTTCTTGGCAATTTTCAACTTGAAATTCGAAATTGTGCTTTCACAAGAATTAAACATTTGCGCATAATAGTACGAATGCAGAAGAGACAGAGTCCGTGGAAGCGGGGAAAAGAGAGGGACTGTGTCGCGGATGGCAATAATTTTCACAATTATTCAAAGCATAACAAAAGAGTGGGTTCTGAGTTTTTGCATTTCGTTTCCTGCACTGTTAGAGAGAGAGGGGGGAAGGGGAAAGGAGCACCGAGAACTTTTCGCCGAACAAGTGCGCATAATTTACAGTAGCTGCGAAACATTCAAAATCAACCGCAAAACTTTTAATACAAGCAAATGATAAATAATAAATATTCGTTAACCATTCATTGGATGACAGACTTAGAAAATACTTTGTCGAAATTCTAATAAGTTTCTTCTTCTTATTCATTTTTTGTGCCACACTTTCATTGTTATCCTAGTTTCATGCGGTGAAAAATCGAAATTATAAGCGGACTTTTTTCAAGGCGATTTGAATGGAATCTATTTCAGAGTATTGCTCAGCGCTGCTGCCATCCACAACATATTAAAATATCTTGCTGAGAATGCCTCGTCCGTCGCATGCGAAGGTACAATACATGCATTGTTCTCTATACAATCGTTTGAATGTTTTGAGTGACATAATCGTGAAGAGAACAATGCATTCATTCTTGTTCGTTGTGATGTATTAACTGTTATGTATATTCGCATGCGACGGACGACGCATTCTCAGCAAGATATTTTGATATGCTGTGGATGGCAGCAGCGCTGAGCAATACTCTGATCTATTTATACTTGACTTTTCGCCTGAACCATGGAAGTAAATATATGCAAACAAAATCACGAGTAAAAAAATGTTCCGAGTAATTTCCCTAGTGGATACTCACCGCTTGATAATGACGAAAAGAAAAATCCCTTTCTCCACAAGATCAGTCCGTTTTTTTATAGCACCGTTGACGTATAAATATCTGAAACAAGAAAAAAGATAGAGATATTGAAATTATTCGATGGTCGCCGTAAAATCGGGAGAAAATTGCACAAGGGCCGAAAAAAAAGTTTTGATTGGAATTCCAATTAGATAAAAGTTAAACACATCACTGATTTTATGCTAAATTGATGTCCAAGAGTGAACAACGTCTGCCGACGATAAATAAACACACGCTCTTACGGAATTTGATAAAACACAAACAAAAAACCGTTGGTTTTATTCAATGAATATCCTCAGCCTGATTCCACTTGGCTTGTCCTATGTATGGACTTGTTTCGTTGAATGAGACACTTTTTTCCCATTCGCAGCTCAACTTGTGAACACAAACATGCCACATTTGTTGCTTGATCCGACAACAAAATATCAAATGCATTAAAATCTAATTTCGTTGTCGAGTTTTGCGAGCAACGTATGTCTCTTATGTTCGGATGGAGTGTCTGTCGCTCTTTACATTGCTGTTTTATGAATGAAAATTCCATTTTAAATGATTTATCACCACAGACTAATGACAATAAAATTCCATTTGAAGCTGTGTGTATAAACACAAATATCTATTAAAATTCAATACACTGTGCATTTTCATCGAGTTTGATGAAGCCGAATGAACGAATCAAATGTAAAACGAGAGAACCAAGAACATGCATGCGACCACAAGAAAAGAGATATATAATCTATTTGGCCAATACGCTCTTGATTATACTTGTGCATACACGGAATTTGTGTGCTATTTTCCCAGCTTCGGTTCGCTCAAAATAATTGAATAGAAGAACGGTAATTAAATATTTCAAGCTCAAGCATTTCGGTTTCTTTTTTCCTCTCTGATTTCATCAATGTAAAGCAGCTCGACCATTTAAATAATGCGAACATCAATTGAACGTTGGTTGTTTTAAATTCAATTACGGACTCTCTGTGGGGAAACCGTTCTCTGAATAAAATGACAAATAATTTACGATGCATATACATGGAGTCCGTCATGAAGATATACTCAATATGAGCGAGACTCACATCCAAGCAATTTAAAAGGAAGAGAGAGCGAGAGAGAGAGAGGGAGATAGAAAGTGTGAGAGACAAGACACAAATCAAAATCAAATTCCCGAATTCGAAGACTGGACAAACAAACCGACGGCAAGTAACAAAAGCAATCATCAAAACGGAAATTAAATCACTGGCCAAAATGCAATACACATTGAATTGTAAACGAGTAAATGACCATGATTGAAATGAGAGCGAAATTTTGTGGCTCTTTGTGATGATTTCGTTTGCAAAAATGAACAAATGATTGTATGCCAAAGATGTTTAACGAAATGGTTGCGGTTTTTCTTTTGTCCTCTCTCTCTCTCTCGAACTTTGGTTTTGTTAATTTTCTCCATTCAATTTGTTAAAAGCATTTTCTTTCAAAATTTGATCATTCAAATCGTTCTTTGCCACACACACAAAACACTGTAACGCTCGTATTTGAATTAGTAAATAACATTGATGGTCTTTTCAGTGAAGTTTCACAAGTGTATATTATGATGAAATCCAATCAGAGCGGCACGAATGAATGAAGAGGCTGGTGAAAAGCGCATAACAAATATTTGAGACATTGCAAATGAACATACTAAAGACGACATGAAGGTTGATGCGTTTATAAGAACTTTTCTAATCAAAGCCCATCTACTGTTTACTTTCGTTTCATCCAATCAATGTTACATCCCCGGCACCTACACCCAAACATAGACCAAGATCACTGTCTTATTGTGTGTATGTGAGAGATTTTGCAGCTGTCAACAACAACAACGCCGCCGTCAAACTTATTCAACACAAAAAAAATCTATATACACAACCGTGGAAAAATCCACTTTCATTTTCCCGACACTTTTATTTCGATCACGTGCTCACATTCACTCTATAGCACTCAGACCACCAACGAATGCGCTTTTTACTCACATAAAAAAAAAACTTTTATGATTAACATACCGAAAGAAGTGTTGAGACTAACATATCAATAAAAATTCCGTATGAAAATGAGAAAATTTCATTTTTTGGCAATATGAAATCTGTCAAAAGTGCTGACACGAGCTATGTTATTTCACAAAAGAAAATCTTATTTTATGACGAACATTCGCTGAATTTGACGGTGATTTCCATCTTTTGAAAGCACGTGTGAAAAATCAACCGAATTTTAAACAAGATAAGACGACGAATAAAAAAAAATCCCATACGATAACTGATGAATGTTGCAATTTTTAGTAACAAAGTGGCAACAAACACAATCTTTAACGCAAAATTTTTATGGCGCATTTTCTTCGTGCTTCTCATTCCAATGCATAAAAAAGATAAGCCCGACATGCAAATGACGCAAGCCAATGACCACAGTTAAATATAGATAATGACTGGTTTTGTGGTGTTTCCTTCGTGCAGCTATATAATTAATCTTGGCGATTGCGCTCGACAGAATCAACTTTGCAGAGCATTTAGAATAAAAAAAAAGAGCCAAATTCATCTAGAGTTGCACTTCCATGGAATATAAACAAAATGTAATCATATTCAGAGAGAAATGTTTTGTTAAATTTGACGCTTGCACCAACGAAAATCAACATCATAAATCTACGCAGATACAATTTCGGCCACATCGCAAAAGCCAAAAGCAAAACTTTATAGACATAATTTAATGCAATTTTGAATGTTTTGGTTTCACCCAAACAATTTTGATGTTATTCTTGGTAGCGCATCTCGTTGTGTTCAATTTTCGTTCTTGTGTGCAATAAATTTTTTGAATTGCGCATTAATGCAATATGAGGAGTCGATTCATTGCCTCGAGCAACACAAAGATAAACAACTGGACGATAAGTGTGACTTGCAAAAAAAGAGCACACAACACATGAGCATATATTTGCAAATTATTATATATTTTGTCTTCATTAATTTTACCATGAAAGTCGGTGTTGTGTTTTTTTTTGCAAAACATTTCACATTTGTACGTCACGCATACATTAGGCTATTAAAAAGGACTTATTTTTACAATGATAATGCTTGAAATTGATATTGTTAAAAGTGGCATACATTCAGGTCTTTTTCCATCAAATGCTGCTGTTGAGTTGAAAATGTTTGATGTAATAATTTCGAATCCCACGCAAGCAAACTAACCACACCCCATTTTTTCGTGTTGGAAAAATGGTTTTGTTGTGTGCCGTGCACATCAGTTGTCTCTCATCCGGAACTGTTGCTCGGTTACATGATTTGGTCAATCAATTTTTTTTTGTGCGTCTCTAAACAAAAAACTTGGTAGCAAGGCGATAGCGTTTCTGTTGTAAAATTGAGTTTGTCACGGATACCGATGCCACTCATCGATGAAAATGCGTTCTCAACAACAAGTTTCTCGGTCTTTTTTTGTGTATGTTGTGTTTGCGCGTGAGTTGAAACATTGAAACTGAAACATTGTGTAAAACACATTTCGAGATTGTTGCCAGTAATTAAGCAATGATCCAACATTTTCTGGTGTGACCAACACAAAACCAGAGTACCATGGCAAAAATCCCATCGAATCCTTTTTTATGTGCACACCATAAACGTTTGTAAGTTTGAATGGGAAAAAAGTGTTGTTGTTCGACACAGAAAAAAAAAACAACCGAAAAGATTTCGATCAACAATGTGCTATAAATTGGTCGCTACTGTAATTGAAGCGGTAGCTCAGGCGATAAAATGAAACGTGAGCGGGAATGTGATGTTCAGTAATTAATGAGTTAAAGGACAAAAAAACTCTCCACAAAGTATAAACCACACGACAACGGAGGTTAATGACATTTTTTATTGACATGTTTTTCTGCTTTTCGAATTAAAAACAAAAATAACAACCACATTGAATCCATTTTGATGTTGACAGAAAGGATCTTTTCTTCGCTATATCGATAATTTTCCATTTGTTTGGTGTGAAAAAAGATGTAACATTTAATGCTTTCAAACGATGAATGAAAATGAACCGTTGAAAAAAAATAATGCGGTTCAGACTCTATTCTAAATGAAATGCGAAAGAGAGAGAGAGAGAAAACGCAATAAAATGCAATGAATAGAGCGGAACAAAAAACACCGAATCCCATTCAGACTTTATGATAGAAAATTTATTGGATTCCTACGAGTGATTATATTTATAAACGAAATAACAATGTGGTTCGTTCAGATGGAGTCGTCGTCTGCATTGTTCCCAATGAATGGGTAGCAAAAAAGCGGTGAATAAGCTCGCGCGTCAACAACAGCGAAAAACTTGTGGAGCATAAAGCCGTGATTTTATGATGCAGTTTTTTTGTTCTCCCTATTCATTTCTCAACGTTGCACAATTGATGTTGGCATCGCGCACAACACCCACCACATGCCGACTAAAATAAAAACAAATTCACTATGCAATAGTCTGCTGTGACATGATGTTTATGGTGAATATAGAAGAAATATATATCATAACTTATTTTCTTTTATTCGTCCAGGCTCTTTGGTCTTGTTTTTTACTTTGCAAAATTTTATGTTATTTCTTTTAATTTTGCTTCCGCTATCCAAATGCAGTAAAATTACTACCGTACCAGTAGATATTATATTTATGTCCACAACGACCATGAAAAACGAACCGAACAAAATTTGTTAAATGTTTCCAGTGGAAAAGTTTTTAATCCAACCAGCCGCAAAAAATGTGATGCACTTTTTTGTCATTCGCATCAAGTTTTAAAAGCAAAAATATAAACTTTTTTTAGCTCAGATAGAGTGCAGCGAAGAACAAAGTGGACATACGGACAAAATTGCATGCGACACAAAGTGACAAAAAAAAAAGAAAGCTGACTTTTATGCATTGTTCTTTGTGGCCATTTATTATTCAACACCATAATAGAAAAATGAAAGAACAAATAATTTCATGACTAACTATAAATCGAAAATCAAAACTCAAACACTGAATGTATTAATTCATCTTGTAATTCAATTTTTATCGAGCAAAATTGAAGTGGAACTCATTCA